GCTGATTTGGCTAGCGCAGCCAAGCAAGCCGAATTCGAGGTGAAAGTTCGCTCGTTACAGCGCGATACTCGACGCGAACAACCTGTCAGTCTACCATCTATGGACGACGTGATAGATCCTACAGATGCAGTAGATCTACCACTTCCATCATCTGCCTATCCTTTTGCCGTTCAAACATCCGCTTTGCATGGTCTAGGTGTCCATGAATCAGTAGGTGCTGCCGCTTTAGCTTCTCGTCTTCCACCTCCTCGAGATCGCAGTTCAGCTCTGTCATCTCTTGGTCCAGATGATGACGAAGAGGATTGGAAGAAGGCACTATTAAAAGCTGCCGTTGGTCATTCATTCGATAATCTTACTGTTGCCGCGGAAGGTGCACTTGCTCGATCTCCAAGGTCACCGAGGTCTCCATCTTCGTCCATGATGTCGTCTCTGCCACCAGAATCACCTACACCATCTCCCGTGCCGATCACCTCTGCCCCGACGCCTGCGGCGAGGATCAACAAAAAGATCATAAGCAGCCCTATTCAACTGGACACCTCCTTATCAAAGTCCCCTAGCGTTCATAGTGCTAGTCACATCCAAACTCATACTTTCACAAATCACCCTCGACCTCGCGGATGGTCTTCTCCCGCCTCTCCGACTTCTCCTTCTTCCGCGCCCTCACCTATACCCATCCGTACCGAAACCCCCTTGGATCTGATGCCGCTCATGCCTCCCCCAAGGTCTCCGAAGCTCTCCAGATCACCTAAGTCAGCAAGGAGGGAAATAATCAACCCTGTGTATTCAATTTCGCAGACGGACCTTGCTGAAACAGCAGGTCCAGGTCCAGTTGCTGCGTCAGTTTCTCAGGGCTGGTATGGAGGGAATACCAACCATGTCTATACAATGACCCCGCCGCCTGGGTACTGGAGAAGCGGAGGACTGGGTATGACACCAAGAGACTCATCTGAGTCGTCTCAATCGTCTTTTAGACCTAGAGACTCCTCTGACCGGGAGACAGCAAACTCGAGCACAAGTCGGAGTAAGCGTTCTGCTGGAAGTGGTGTTGGAGATCCTGAAACACCAGATTCGATATCTATGTATTCGACTATGACTGGAGTCTTTCCTGACGAAGAAAACTCACCAAGGGCTAGTTCATCTAGGTCGACAATCATTTCGACAGCGCAATCACCTACGACTTCTGCATTCCAAGATGCTTTAAGTCGGAATCCTTCGGAGTTGCGGATTGACGGCAACGGCCAGGCTCACCACCAATCAGCCGATCCGCCTCCCGTGCCCTCACTTGAACGTCCTACAGATGGCACCTCTGCACCCTCTGCATCAATATTATCGCCATTTCAGCCTCCAGAGCCTATAGAGTGTTCAGATCTACCAGCTCTTGCATCTCTTCGACCTCGATCAGCTTCTTCCTTACCTATACCTTCAACGTCCCTCACTCCCGCAACACCAGTGTCTGCACCTTCCCGGACCACTTCTACCCATTACAGAGATCTCCGAAACCGACATTTCTCCGCACTCAGGCAAAATAATACACTCCCAACGTATGCTTCTTACCTATCGTATCCTCCATCTGCGTACAATACCAACATGCCTCCTCCGCCTACCCTCGCGCATCGCTCGGCATCAGACCACGGGCATGGATCGTTCACTCCGCCTCCGCCAGCAGTAAGGAAAAGACCACCGACTGCACCTGCTGCTCCGATGTTAACACCGAGGATAGAACTCATAGAAATCTCCGCACCAGAACCAACGACACCGCCGTTTCCCTCTTTTGCGTCATTACCTTCCTTTCCTTCTTTACCAACCATACGATCACCTTCCTCTTCCTCTTCGGCCCGCTCTGTTCACTCTGCTCGGTCTGCTCCTCCCTCTCCTCCTTCCCCGCTTTCCCCATCCTCCCCTTATTCACAGTCCCCTTCTTCTCTGCCCTCCCAATCTCAGCCTTCTCTAATTGAGCGTCGTCAACACGGAGTCGGGAATCCTCTACGTGGCAGTTTGCACATCCCCACGTCCATCATACCTCCGGCGATTCACTCCGCACCTCCCCCTTCGACCCCTCCTTCTTTCCCTTTATTCGCTGGTCATCCTTCTGCTGGACCGTCTTCTGTGATGATGATGACCTCCCCACCGTCCCCGTCCATGTCGTTCTTTGATACCATTCAAACTCAACCGAATGCGATGGATTATTTGGATGAGTCCTCTGATGAGTCTTCTGACGATGAGGACGATGAGGATGAAGATGAGTGTGAGTATGAGAATGAGAATGATGAAAATAGGGCTGGAAACGAAAACAACGGAAAGGATGATGATAATCGTGATGACGAAGGGGAGGAGGACTTCCGGACTGCAGAAGGAGGAACTACAGGTGGTAGTGGAAGAGAAAGGGGGGCATCTGTTACCAATTCGATGTTATCTTCCCTTTCCACCTACTCCACCCCTTCAGTACAACCTACAGCACGACGCCCATCGACAAGTCGATCGAATATTTCAAACCACTCGAATTTGTCAAACCATTCCAACCGCTCCAATCGCTCCAACTTCTCGATCCGCACCCCTTTGATGCGACTAGGAAATCATTCTACACCCTATGTCTCGCATACATCCCTTCACGCGTCCGATACAGGTATCGACCGTAGACTACCCATTGGGAATATTGCAGAAAGCAAATCGCCCAGAGAATTCTTCACGAAGAAGATGAGGGACGACGAGCAGGTGCTAGAGTCAAAGTGGGATTTGTGGAAATATACGAGGGTGGGACAGGGAGAGGGTGTGCGTGCTGATGCGGTCACAGGATCTGAAGTAGAGACTGGGACTGGTCCGGATATTGTTGGTACCGGGGCAGAGATAACAGGAGAGGTAGAAGTAGCGGCAGGACCGAGTTCGCGGTCTTACTCCTACTCCTACTCTAGTCACCCATACGCCCGTGCATACGGTCCTCATCATTCGAGAAATTATTCAAGAGACGCGCCTTCGTCTTTCGCGGGAATCTCAGGCAGCACAGAAACTGCCGTGGGCGGAAGTCGCATTAGAGCGACATCGTCGTCTTCAGATCGAGGATACGGGTATGGGTACGGTTCTCAGACTCAAACTCAACAAGCCCAGACTCAGGCGCAGCAGAAAATGGAGTCAAAAAAGTTGGATGGGATGCTGAAAATGCATATGGAGGCGGAAAAGGATCAAATGAAGAGGATGGCAGAGAGGATGAAACAGACACAGGTACAGGATAAGGCGAGTGGCGGTAGAGGTGCCATAAAGTCAAAGCGTTGACACTTGAAAGCATGACACTATTGGCGGCTCTGGTGTTGAAGGTACGCTTTGCGATTTGGTTCCTAGGTCCCTCCCTATATTTATTGATGTCTCTTCAAGCTATACTCTTCCGACACAATATTTTTTGACGGACCTTTTCTTATGTCGTATATACTTCCTGTATTCTTGCTTACATCTCACGACCTTTCCTTCCTTTGCATACCTCCCTTCAATTTTGCTTGCCTCCCTGTTGTTTTCCGTCATGATTCTAATGTTTCCCTTCGCAATGCTTTCCTATGTTCCTGTTCAGTCCTAATTTCACCCTCCAACCAAACCTGGGATTCAATTTATGTCTTGATTCACGAATAACGGCACATTAACGTCTGCATATACATTTACGACTATGGTCTAAAGTGAATATACCTATACACCTACGCCACAATCTATACATGTACATACCTTTACTTCTACACCGTTCATATATTTCAAGTGTATAAATTGATCTCAACATTTTTTTCTCCTTGACTCTTCTGCAGACGTTTCCACACTGATATAACATGCATTCGCATGTGAGCCTCCTTCGTCCGGCTCGGAGGGGGCCTTCGGCCGCCTCCGTTCCAAGTACGTCTCACATGTGGTGCTCGCTTCGAAATTCTAGTTTCGAGGGGTGTCGGTGCTGGCGCACCTCCATAAAACAATTATCAAGACACTATAATGATTACACAAGGATGATATACTGAGCAAATACAGGGGTTTGCATAATTTCGTGAACAATCGAGTTTTTTTTCTTTTTGCGGTCCGAATATATCCGTTCCCAATTCGGAATATCTAAACGTGATGTGATTGCTTCTCAACCCCGTGCTACCCTGTGCCTCCTCAAAAATGCATCTATTGGTGGTATACTGAAGACACTATTGGGATGATGGGATATAGTGAGAGAGTGACTCAGAGGATACTGCAATAATGTATTAAATACAAAAAGAATGAGGGAAATCACTTCGAAATAAAAAATTTGAATACCTCACCTTATATAAGCTTAACACTGTTCCAGTAAAGAACTTGAGGCTTGTATAAAGGAGATTTGGATACAGACTCAAAAGATATCAAGGAGACATATGGCAGAGCTGTTACGGGCCTGACTATATATGAGGTCTATGATGTGCTAGGATATGTAGGGACTTGTAGGATGTGCGCAGTGAGAAAACATGTCACATCACGTGGCTGATAAGATAGGATATATCCGAACCGCAAAAAAAAAAAACTCGATTGTTCACGAAATTATGCAAACCCCTGTAATGGAAGGACAGTCTCTGAACTTCGATGACGAGGGATTTACAGGGGATTACCAAAAATGGCGGTGGCTGTGACCTCGTGGGATTTGCGAATATAGAATTGACGAAATTTTTCACCCTATGGCTAGTATTGCTTCGCTTCTCTCGCAACAATTTTAGTGATACCCTGTTTCCGTATCAATTCCAATCCTTAGGTAAATCTCTACCATGTAAACTAGTACCTAATTCGTCGGCCAGTGCGTTGAATGGTCATGAATAGTTTATCAAGGTGAAACTGTCGTGGTCCCAGAAGGATAAAAAATATTTTGTTATCATTGGATTCCCAGAGTTTAGATCAAATCAAAATATTGTAGATATCATACACCAATGAGACTCGAGAGATTTTGAGAAGATGAAGAAAACAAACAGAATGCATACTCACAAATAAGTCTGCAAGAAAGTAATTTGAGAACTATGCAAAAATGCATTAAGAGGGAATCGAACCCCCGGCGGGTCGAAATCCAGTAAATGAAAGTGATCTATATCCCATGGCAACGACCCAGGTTACCACTACCCCATTAATGCTTAGCCAAATGGCATATGTAAAGAACATAGTAAATAACCGAACAAAAAAAATCCATCTATTTGATTCTCCATATATATACAGTATCATTAGCGCTTCTACTCACTCCGAGTCAACGCCTCCGAAATCAACCGTTCCGGACAAATTAACGAAAACCTCGAAGCTCCCGGTGTAGTATTAGCCTCAATTCTCCCCTGCTGCAGTGACTGTCGATACTCTACCGTCTCCTCCCCTCTCTTTACCCACCTCCTTCGTACCGGCTCCCTTCCACTCACAACATCCTCCATGAATCCTTTTGCAGCTTGAAGAATTTCTGTAGCAGGCTGAAAGTACGTGACATGGCCGGCATTGAGCAGGATTCTCTCATTCTGCCTCATCGAGGTATCAGCAACATCGTGTTTCTCATACTCTGCCACAGCGGTATCCTTTCCCTCCTCCTTCTCATCGATTCCACTTCCTAACAACTCTCTTTCTTTCATCCTCACAAACCCAATCAACGCCTCGATACTACTAAACCAATCCACCATCGAACCCTCCTTCGGAAATATGATTGGCTCGTATTCGTATAACGAATCACCGACGTAGAGCATTGGTGGATAAGAGGTGGAGTCATAGATTGTCAAGGAATCCGGTGTGTGGCCTGGAGTGTGGAGGACCGTTACGTGGCTCGAGATTTTGTTCGATGTCTGGTTCGATATCGTATGTCCATGCGGAACGAGAATGGGGGTGTATTCTGGAGTACTTATGTTGAGGAAAGCGCAGAGACTATGCTCTGGAATGTCAGAAAGGAATTCAGGGGAATGAGATGAGGCGAGGATAGGAGAGTCGGAGCTGTGATTGAGCACAGGGCAGAGGGAAATGAAATGATTACAGGGATGAGTTATCAAACTGCATGATGGAATTCTGACCAACGTACAAATGCTTTACACCAACTGTAATTGTTCAGATTTTATCTGAAGGTGCTATAGCGACTTACGAATATGATCATAATGACAATGTGTTAGAACAACGATATATCCCATCCTCTTTCCTCCTTCCAATCCACTTTGGTTATCAAGCCCATTCAGAGGCCTTCCGCCGTTTTCTGGTACATCCACAGTTTCAATAAACTCTCGAACATTGGTCACTCGAACCTCGGGATCATTGGATGCTCCTCCACAGCCTGTGTCGATTAGGATAATCGTACCAGCCATGTTGTGCCCTGCTTTTGAGGAAGACTCGGATGTGTTGCTTATGTTAGATAAGTTTGAAGTTGATGGAAAGATGATAGCGTAGATATGTGGACGCTCAGAATATATGTCGTCGTATTCCTTTATGAGGAACGTGTTGGATGTAAGCCGGGTCGCAGTGAACGCACTGCTGTCTTTGTCTTTTGAGACATTATAATATTTGGATCGACTGCTAAGAGCTGCAACTGGTGATTTTCAAGGTGTGAATCGTGGGATTGGGGCGACATTGAATAGCATTGAATATCTTCAATATGCCGACGCGCTATGTAAACCTAGCTTTGACCTTACCATAACCAGCTCTCTCGCGTTGGCATACGATTCCATCAGAATCAACCGTCCTCTTCCTCTTCCTCCTCCTGCCCGGATACATAGGTACGACCAAAGTACTAAACGAATAAAAGTAGGAACTATCTCCCAATATTTCCATCCTACTAGACTCTGAATTGTAAACTCTCAGTACAAATGAGTCAACCCGGAAAACCGGACGAAACGCGGCCTGCGACGCCAGCTACGACAGCACAAGTACAACAAGCTCCCCAACCCCCTCCGACGACATACAGTACATGGGCTAGTCAGTTTTCACTCATTATCATAAGCATTGTGTATATTGAACGCGGTGGGGCCCACAACAGACATCCCTATCGATCCAGCTCTGCAAGCCCAACCCGCACCAGGCGCAACACCAATAACACCAACCGCAACCCAAGCCGGTCAAACAACCCCAGCCCCAGTGTACCAATATACCCCATACGGATATTACCAAAGCTACCAAAATCAGTTTTCTAGCGTTCCCGGGGTGGGGACATCTGCAACAAGCGCGACGACTCCAACGCCGGTTGTGGCTCATAATAACAGTACTTATACGCCTGCGCCTGCGAATGGGATAGATACGTCGGATATTAATACGCTCAGGGATGCTTTGGGCAGTACAGGTGTTGATTTACGGGTGAGCAACTCCATTAAAATCAAATCCAAAATTTTATTCAATTTTCTTCTCTTCCAGGCAGAAGAAGAATCCCTGCAACGAACCTCGGACAGTCACCTAACCTACCGCTCCTACGAAGACCGTACGCGAAAACAACCATCAAAACCCAATTTCAACACGATCTATCTCTCGAGCACCATCCACCAAATAACCTCTGCGCATAAATTGTCTAATCCCAATCCATCCGCAGATACCGTGAATTATCTCGCCTTGGCTCTACGCGCTAGACTACAAGATCTAATAAGTGCTATGATCACTGCCGCTCGACATAGGACTGACACACAATTCGACAATGCACCATCATTATATGAGGACGGGTCGCCGATGTGGAGTATCCTTGTTAGATCAGACGTTGCCAAACAAATTGCTGCGTTGGAGAAGGTGGAGAGAGAAGAAGAGATAAAGATCAGGAGAGAAAGGAAGGAACGCGCGGATATGGCTGCGGCACAAGCTGCGGCGCTCGCTGCTCAGAGCGCGAGTGCGATGAACGGCGGCGCTGGCGGGTCTGGCGGGGGAGATGACGATCTAGATGGGTTCGGTGGTGGCGGAGGAGGGAAAAAGAAGAGAAAGAAAGACGGACCGGGGGTTACAGCGAAGAATATGTCTGTGGATGTACAGAAGAAGATGTCGAATGCGGCGGCTAGTCATGCTGCTGGATTGGCGGGGCGGTATTCGTGGATGACGGCAGGTGCATCGTCGACGGGTTCGTCTACTCCTAAGAAAACTGCCGTTGCTGCTGCTCCTGCTGCTGCTCCTGCTACTACCACTGCTACTACACCCGGCGCTTTGTCATCATCGTTGACTGGAGCAGGAGCCAGTGCAGCGAGTACGACAGCTACTCTCAGTACACCTAGTGCTGGAGGTAGTAGCAGTGGATGGGCCAGACCATATGTCTCCGCAAAAAAGACAACAGAAACGAATACGACGCAGGAAATTGTAGAAGAAGATACAAGGACTGCTATCACCATGCGAGATGCGATGTTTGTTATCGAAAAGGAGAGAGGTCATGGTGGGGGCAGAGGTGCTGCGAAAGGGTGGACTTAAAATATATTATATTTATTGCTCATCTGTCTGTAATCGAATCAACTTGCAATCGCCTCTACCCTCCAGAAACCGGACAAATCACCGCAACCTCTACCCCATCCCCCAATTCCACTTTTGTCAAATCCTCATCATCGCCAACCATCTCAGCATCAACACTCCATTGGCTCGAGTCAAGTATTTTTCTAAGGGCTTCTCCGATTTTCTGTCCTCCTCCTTCTCCTTTCTTTCCACTGCCATCGTCGTTACTCGGATTATCTCGTGAATGTCTCTCAACCAACAAATCCTTCAACTGAGAAAGGTCAAACCCCTTCTCTGGTATTGGTATTTTTTCTTCGGTTATCCCGAGGGTGGTAGATGCAGCGGCGAAATATAGAACTGTTATATGCGCTGTAGAGGTCGAAGTAGAAGACATGATGAGATAGATAGATAGATATGAGTAATCTCATCTAACAACTCGGCATGGCCCGGGAAGCCCAATATAATAAAACAACATGATTTGCCCTCCCTGAAATTCTTATGTTGACCTGCTAAAAATAATAGGTACGGGACATGCACAAAATTGAAGAGATTCATAAGTAGCACGCTCTGTAACAGCCTACTACGCATCGGGTCTTAACGCAATACAGTGCTCTCTCTATCAGGTTCCGGAAGCCCCTCAGACGAATTAAGTCCCCCTGAGGTCCAGCCTATCCCAAACTGTTTTTGGCGGCAACCATTGGTACACTTTGTACGCTAACTCCTTTTCAAACTCCTTCCCATTAATTAGTCTCAACCTCCAAATCCTTCATCCCAATCCTGCATCATTATATAACTCTTCTCTGTTTCTTGTCCTTGGCATACGAAAGGTTGATCACACTAAGTTGTCTGGAGATGATTAGCTCGAATTCAAATTCTGTAACAGAATTCGAATACTTAACTGAAGTATACAGTTTTCTAAACCGCTTGTTAGGTATAGGGATGTTCCAGGTAGTGAACGATTGAAGTTTGTTTGCGTTTGAGTGACATTCACTAATGAGATGAAATTGTCTCACAGGTACTTTCAATATTTCAGAGAGCGAGACATTGAATATTTACAGCCTTTACCATCGTCCCGAGGTGTGTCTGTGAAAATAATTCCAGCTTCGAATCCGGCTCATCTTCCTATCCAGGTGCACCGTGCACGTCCTTCTCTCGGCGCTCCTATTGTTGAAACCCTTCTCAAGTTCCCGAAAATGCTTCCAAGACACATCTAATCTCTCATGCAGACTCTCTGGAATCCATGCCGCAGGTAGTAGGTCAATTATTGATTGTCGTTTCCTCTAGACCCACCGCTGATGGCATTGATGTTGTTCTCGGCAGCTTCCGTGTCGTTGGTTTCAATGAGCCACATGTGCGTAACGGGCTCAGGCTTAGGCACTGGCCTGCGATTGAGTTGTACAAGAAATTTGAGAAAGGAAATAAAAGGAAAAAGTGAAAGATGGTTGAAATATCTCACAACTTGAACAGTAGACGGAATCGACTCACTCTCTCCTCAGGTTGTGCCAACGGTTTCTTTGAGGGGTTCACTGTTGTCGCCGCCGCCGCCGCCGTCACTGCCTGACGATTCAGCATCCGCACGAGCCAGCAAACCAGCTGTAGGCTGCGGTGAGGCCCGTAAAAGCAAAGGTACACGAGGGACAGTGGACGTGGATTGGGGCAGAGGAGGTGGAAGAGGAGAGGCACTCCCAGCAGCAGCCCCGGCGAATCCTACCCTATCATATCCAAG